GCAAGCCAGCCAATGCTGGTGTCATGGGACACAACACACTGAACCCACGAAACTTAGGGTTGTTTATCCTTATCAAAATAATCTTATACTCATGGCCTCAACAGCAAGAAAGCAAAAGAGATGAATTAAATTAAGACAAAAAGACAAAAAAAGTACCTGTTCAAATTGTGATTCTCATTCCCAGATAGCACATAAATAGATGCCAAAGCGCTGACATCTATTTATGTCCAATCCTTTTTAAAGTTTTGTTGGGAGAAGGGTGGAAGGTGCGATGTTGAAGTTCACCTACTTGCACATCTGCCAAGTTCACTGAAAACAATAGTGCCCCTGTTCTTTTTCACCAAACACAAGACAGGACTTGATACATTCTCACCCATATACACAGACAGAAATCTTCCCTGAAAAAATATCTCAAAAATCCCTGATAATCTTCAGGTGACTTTGACACATCAAAAAACATTCTTGCAAACGTTTTGTAAAAAGAAGGCCAGCAACCCTGACCTTAACATTTTGAGGAAAAACACAGCAGTCATTTGGCAAAGTACTTTATTTCTAACCATAAGCTGACACTCAGGTTACATTTAAATTTGAAAGGTTAGTGCAAATGGTGCACATACACCTTAAATCACCACAGATCATGGAAACATCTTGACTCTGTCCTTTTCAGACACCATTCTGTTTCTCATTCTTTTTCTCCCATTCCTACAAGATATCCCATGCAGAATACACTACCCAAAATCCTTTAAATAAGAAACAGAAATATTCATCAGCTTCCTAGTTAATCTGTCTGCTGCAAATATACATTTCATTTCATGAGATCTACATACTCTGCAAGGAAAATGCAAGATGACACAACATGCTCTACTCTATAACAGCTTCTCTGTAAAAGCAGTTGTAACTGACATCAGATTTTGTTTCTTAGAATCCCCTTAAGACCTGATATCAGCATAAAGGATACACTTTCACATTCACAACTTAATTCCTTTGCATTTGCTTTCCCAAAAAAAAACATACCACAAAAAAAAGGAAAAAAAAGCTTACTATTATTATAAAAATGCATGTATTTCAGCTAAAGCTTTATTTACTCGTATCTATTTACTCTTTGAGATGCACCACTTGCTTTCAAGGATTCTTCCCTAAAGCTCTGGAGGTCAGCTTCCACTCCAGGCAGAACACGAAGTGCTACTGGTATTTCCAAAGGTCTCACCTCATCTCACTTGTGAGACTGAAGTGGTTCTGTTCACAGCACACCAAGAGTTAACCTGGTCACTAAATCTGGGTGCACAAGCAAGTTCTTTCCCTTTGTCAGGCTGCTGGGTACCAATAGAAACTTTTTTTCCTTCTTAACACTTCTGGACCTCCTGCTTCAAGGCTTCCAGGTATGACTAGGTCTTGGACACTGTTTCAGCATCTATTCTCTCCTATAGTTTTTAGTATTTCACTGGCAGCATAGAGTTTGTTACAGGATGATTAGCACATGATGAAGATACCTTGTGGACCATTCTCAGCTGCTGGTTCTTGCCTGGGTTTACCAGGGACTGGACTCAGTCCCTCCCTGCCCTACGACCTGACACACGTAAGTAAGCTGGATATGTGCATCAGGATTTGCTTTGTCAATGACTAAAAGCTAAATGTAAGTCTTTAAATTTAAAAGCAGATGTGAACAAAAAACAACAGAGATAAACAATAAAAATTATCATGAGTCTTTTTCTTTCCTTTTAAAAAAGTTCAAAACACAAAAAGCAACAGAACACATTCAGTGAACCGATTAAAACAACTCTCACTCTTCTAATTACCTAAAAGACTGAAGGCCTGTGATGATTTTTAGAACCACGGTGGATGGATGATGGCAGAGCGGTGGATGTGGTCTACCTTGACTTCAGCAAAGCCTTTGACACAGTCTCCCACAGCATCCTCACGGCTAAATTGAGGAAGTGTGGACTGGATGATAAACAATAAAAATTATCATGAGTCTTTTTCTTTCCTTTTAAAAAAGTTCAAAACACAAAAAGCAACAGAACACATTCAGTGAACCGATTAAAACAACTCTCACTCTTCTAATTACCTAAAAGACTGAAGGCCTGTGTATGTTAATTTCCTGTCACTGTACGGCTAAAGAGTGTCTGATTTTTAGCGTATACAGTCAGTAAATACGACGTGTTTGCATACATGTCTGTTTCTCTCTTCCCCCCAGGAGGCATGCAACCAACAACCAAATTCCCAACAGGAGGAACAAAATGACAGACGCGTTAAAGGTATTTTGAAAGCCCAGAAGTACCTAGAACCATGTTTCTGGTGAATCCACGCTGACAGCTAGTCCAAAGTCACCATGGGTAACATCACCAAGCAAAGCATACTTTACAGAATTTCCATCATAATTTCACCCTGACAACAAAATTGTGCTAATGACAGTGACACAACCCACATGCTAAGAAATAAGGCTCTTCCTAAACCATTGCTGGATTTTCTAGGGTCTCATGCTCTTCCACTGCCATATGGCAGCATTCTGCACGCCACAGTTAAAATCTTGGCTCAAACTGGCAGCAGTTGATCGAATCCTCATCACCCAGAGTGCCCTTACAGCAGGGCAGGCACAAGATCCAAGAATGCATATTATTGTTTCGTGCATGCATCCATCCCTACATACGGACAGACCTTCTAAATGTTCCACAGTTTTCAAGTGGCTTAGCCAGGTTAAGTGTCACAACAAACCTCTCACACAACAGAGGCTTTTGGGGGAACAGACTTGAAAATAGGGAGGGGTAAGGGAAGGAGGGATAACAGTGGCAGAGTATCCTGCTTCACAAAATAAGGACTAGCATCAAAGGAGCTCTTGCACTGTTTACAATAGCATGGTGAAATATTTCTATTCATGCAGCATCACAGGTAACTGCTACCAAGAACCGAGAAAGTGGCAGATTCAGCAAAACAAAAAAAACCAACCTAGGTTTCTTTCATGACCAAGACTTGCAGTTCAAGAAAAAGATACAGGCCATGTAAATACCCAACCTGCTTTTTTGCTAGTCAGGCCTCCAGAGAGGAAAAGTTAATGCAATTCTCATAAGAGCTTGTGACAGAATCAAAGATAAATGCTAAGACTTATAAAAAACATGCTACTTTAATACAGCCCAGAGAGCAGAAACCCAAACTGAAGAAAACCTGCTAACATCCCTACAGTGATTTAATTACAGCTAAACTGGTTTCCCAGAGATGATGGAGAAAGTTCAGATTATATCAAGTACTATGATAAAGTCACATTTCACTCAGCAGATACCAGACTTATTCTAGCTGCAGCCTTTGTTGTAGCTTGATGGATTCAGACAATTCCAAATATCCGGATGATATAGTTAAGTCATATACTCGACTATACAGGGAAACACTGTTCTGTGATAAAGTTCTGAACTATACTTCCAGAACTGACCTATATTCAGTACAGCTGTCTCAGTTGCTAATTAGTGGGTTAGCCCAAATATTTTATTATTGAAAAAAAAAAAAACAGCACTAACTCTAGTACTACCAACTCTGTTCATACTAGCAGTGATTTTTCTTTTCTCATCCTTTTTGATATGGCTGTAAGTGTATTGACTCATAAGTGACCCTGAACTGGGGCAAGCATCTGAGCTGCTGCAGTTTTCAACACAAAATTCAGTAACATGTCAGGCTGTAGGTCACAGCAGCTCAGGAGACATAACACACAGCCACCTACTTCTATAGATGCAGTAACCTCCAGGAGAAAAGGAGGGCAGGCAGCTGGTGGAGGTTACTGCTGTAGACATCCTAGCCGAGTTGGCTTTTGTTTAAGAGTTATGACTCTGCAGTCAAACGAGACAACTTTCTGCTTACAGCCCGTTGGATTTGTGGTAACACATTATCCAGCTACAACCACTCTGCATATACCAATGTGACCCCAAAACAAGCTTGGATAAAGTGTTAAACATACACTGTTTTATTCAGACCCATCTGCTTTTGATTCTCTTGGCTTTTGTACTGCTTTCCCCCAGCACCACCTCCATAAGTGTTTCTTTAGATGTTTTTTCTTCCCCCCATCTCCTAGCCTCTCCCATTCCCATTGGGGTCTCACTTTAAACCATCTCACACCATGTTGCCATGAACTATGATGTGAACTTCCATCACTCATGCAACATTCCATGTAAGATAAATTGTACACTTCATAATTAAGATATAGAGCTCACGTTACAAACAAGACAGATGTGGAAAGACAGCAGTTCCTGACACACGCTTCAGGCTGGCAGCAGATTCAGAAACAAAGCACCGTATCAGCTGACACTTACTTTGTAGTAGATGCCTTAAAATAAATGAGACATGAAGGTTTGGCATTCACAGGGAAAAATACAAAAAGCCAACCACACCGTGAGGTTTAGGCAGAAAGACACCGCTCACCATTACCTCAGATGATGTGACTAAGACAACAAAAGCGTGCGCTTCCCAAGGACAGGCAAAATAAGGGCGGAAAAACACGATACGGAAGGCGAATGAGAAGAGCACGAAGGATCTACTACGGTACGAGGCAAAACCAAACCCAAACCCGCCCCAGCGCACCATCACCATGAGCCATGCCCGGCAGTACGCGGGCCAGCTCGGGGTGATGTGGCCGTCCCCGCCGTGGTCCTCGCGGGCCAGGGGAGGGTGGCCGGGACTCAGCCCCCGAGCGGTGACAGCATGCAGGGGCCCGGCAGCGGCGAGGCCCCGACCCCCCCACTTCAGCCACCTCCCCCGGCCGCGCCCGGGCGCCCTCTCTCTCCGGCCGGCCGACAGGCCACGGAGCCCCCGGGGAATCCACCACCGGAATCGGACCTACCTGAGAGACAGCCCCGCGACGACAGGCCGCCCCACCACCACAGCCACAGCCACAGCCCCTGCCCAGCCCCGGCGACTGCCCGCAGCTACCGGCTCCCGCAGGCCCCGCCCCGGCCCGGGCTCCCCCCAGCGGCCGGTGGGAAGCCGTAACCCTCCTCCCCACCCCGAGCGAGGCCCCTCACCTGCCTGTCAGGGCGCGGGGCAGGGCGAGGCGGCGGTGGTAGTGGTGGTGGTGGCGGTGGTGGCACTGAGGGGAGGTCAGGTCGGCTCCGCGCCCGCGGCTCTCCGCCTCTCGTTGCGCGCGCTCCAGCTCCCCCTCTCCCCTCCCGCGCCCCCGGCGCGAGACACGCGCAGGCCCCGCCCCCGCAGCGCGGCGCCCCGCAGCCCCGCCCTTCCCGCGGCGCGCGCTCGCGGGCCGGGCTTCCCTCCCTCCCCGTGGGCCCGCGTCACCGCTTACCGCTCCCGTAGGAAGTTTGGCTCCTCTCCCCGGCCGTAGCGCCTGCTCCGGGCGTCACTCCCGCCTTCCTCCGCCTCCTCTTGCGCAAGGCGGGAACTGCGAACTGTCGCTGGCGGACGGCCCTCGCCCCGGCCCAGGTACTGCGGCCGGCAGGAAGAGCTCCCCTTCGTTCCCCTCACTGATGGTCATGGTGGCGGCCCCTCCAGCGGAGCCACCCGGTGGGCGAAGGGCGCGCGAGGGGCAGCCGTTGGCGGGCGCCCCGGGGGGAGGGTGGGAGTGTGGTGGTTCCTCAGCGGAAAGCCCTTGGCGGCGCCGGCAGAGGGGCAGCGCCTGCTGGGGTGGGGATCGTGGTGCCAGCCCTGTGGCCGCTGCCCGCCCCTTCCCGCCTGGTTCCCCTGCCGCCAACCCCACTGCTCCTTGGGCGGCTCTCCCTAGTCTCTCGGCTGTGAGGCCCTAGGGGCCGCAGGGTTGCGGCGGTTTCGGTGTTTGGAGCCACAAAGGCAGTGCCAAAGCTGGTACACAGCCTCGGTGCTGCTTAGGCACGCTTACACGGGGAACAGTTCCGTTCTCTGATAAGTACTCCTTCCTTAGAATTGTGCTGAAGCAGGCCCTGAAGCACAAGTCTTATGAGGAGCTGTCTCGAGGGAGCTGGAGTTGCTTAGTCTGGAGAAGAGAAGGCTCGGGAAGGGGGGACTTCATCACTCTCTGCAACTACCTGAAAAAGAGGATGGAGAGAGGTGGGGATTGGTCTCTTCTCCCAAGTAACAAGCGATAGGACAATAGGAAATAGCTTAGAGACGGGGAGGTTTAGACTGGATATACAGGGAAGATTTCTTCATGGGAAAGGTTGTCAAGCCTTGGCACAGGCTGCCCAAGGAAGTGGTTGAGTCACCGTCCCTGGAAGTGTTCAAAAACCATGTAGACAAGAGACTTAGTGACATGGTTTAATGATAGACTCGACAGTCCTGGGGTAACGGTTGGACTTGGTGATCCCAAGGTCTTTTCCAAACTAGCTGATTCTATGACTTCCAAGCTGTGTTGACAGTTTTGCCTTCATCCAGGCAGACAGAGCAAATGACTTGCTCAGGGATCTTTCTAGTTCAATTCTTTGCATTTTCAAGGTGTAAGCAAGCAAACCCAACGTTGACTTACATAGCCATTATTCCCAGGGGGCACTAAAATGAGAATTTGTGGTAAATTTGATAGATCTATAAGACTACATAAGGAATCACAAAGTTATTGACGTATAAGTTATCACTATTCGAATTAATATCCTGTTGCAATAAATACAGCAATTCAGACCTCTCGCAATCATGATAACTGATACACACTGAGGTCCTAATAACCTGAACTTCCTTTGCAACTGTAGAAGCACATAATCCATTTAAAATTAATTTCTGAAGAGTAATATAGTGCAGGTAAGTGCATGCTATAGTATACAAGCCATTCTCCCAAGCCTAAAGTATCTCCAGAAACAGATGCTTTACGCTGCTGCCTAAGAAAGCAGAAGGGTGAAAATAGGTATCGGCTTGCCTATGCCTGAAGTAATCTGTCAATTTCAAATGTAAATGATTTTCCATTTAAAAATAAACAGTGTCAACCTAGAGCAAAACAGAAAAATGGAGAGTTTGAGAGCTCTAGATTTTTTTTGTGGTAACATAATTAGTGTGGCAGCTTAACGTGGTTGTGCTGCCAGAAGCATCCTCTCTGCCTGTATCATAATAGATTTTATGATCTGTAGTTTGACAGATCTCCGACAGCTCTTATAGGGTTCAGATGTTTTAGATTCCAGACTGGATTAATCTCTTGTGTAGTAATTGCATTTGGCAAAATGACAGGCTTTCTACAGTTACAATTGAACAGGCAGCTTTTCCCCTGTAAGTCCCAAACCATTACTCTTCAGTTAAAAAGCTTGCTCTTTTCCATGCAATGACTGAAGTGGCTTATCCATAAATGATGTGGTTATAAATCAATCTGACAGGCTTTTAGAAATAAGTACCAACATAAATAATTTATGATATTTGAGTAATATTTCTGCCAGGTCCAAGCTCCAGAACAAGCTCTCTTTGCTTTTACTCCATCTCTATAAATGTGAAACCAGTTTTGCAAGAGCAGATTGTTCGCTTTTTGGTTTTGTAACTGAGGTGTTACTGTTTCACAGAAGTAGTTTACACATAACACTGTTACTAGGAACGTGTTGGGAGGGGTAACCAGCAACATCTAAAAAACATGCCGTCTAAACACAGCAACACTTGCATTAAGCTAACCAGTTTGGACTGGAATTAGATTTGAAATTACTGGGGAAGCAGGATCATAAAACAATGTGCAATAGATATATTGATGTTTGATGAACTTGCAACAACTGTGTAAATGCTGTTATGACAGGAAACTTAGCATAATGAGTAAGGAGATGAGTTTCTCATCCCATGTTCCAAAAAATACAGGAATTTACCAGATAGGCTTAGTTTCTGATGTGGATATATTCAAAAAAAGTCTTAAGTAGAAACACTCCCCCGCAAATGCATGATGTTTTTCTGCTAAGCTTATTTGAAGATAAGAAAGAGCTTTACAATGTGTTTATAAAAATGTTAATTAGTAAAAAGTATAACAAGCATTAGTGTTTTCTGTTTAGTGCAGGGAGGGTACCCTCATCCTAGACATACCAGCAGTAAGCATAGTAATGCCTAGTAAATCTAAAGGTTAAGTTGTGCTGTCAGAGCCACATATATAGATTCCACTGAAGTGGGACTGTGGGTATGTCAAATCTAACGTGCCGTAACTAAGGAGAAATTGTGGTAGTGGTTTTCATATGTCTTGAAAGCAAATATATTTAAACTACTGCAGACAGCTCAAGCTTGCTATATTTTACCTTTTTATTCTCTGGTCTGAGAAGGTGGCCTGAGTCAACATCAGTAACATGTATCAATACGGTATTGGCAAGCATCAGAGGACAGATTGAGTCTACAGTAGACACCAGGTCTCATGGCCTCCCTGTACATTCCATTGTTTAACTTGTAAAATACCAACTATCTTTTTCTTCTGTTGAAGTTAACAGACCATTACCTCACTTTTCTCAAGTCATCAGTGTTGTTTGCCTAGAGATATCAGAAGTCAAAACTGAAGAGTTGTATTGTATGCAATTTTTCTACAGGAATTTCGTAATCTGTTTTCCACTCTTTTTAAACTGTGATATCCCACAGGCCTGTCTTGATTAGGAACATCTGCTCCATTGTACTTAAAAGGGCTACATGCCTCAGCTCAGTGTTAGGTAAAGCAGCCTTTGCATAACTGGTTAATCAACTTATAAAATAGTTTGGAGTTCCCAGAGGAGGGAATATTCCACAGAAATATAAAACTTTTGAAGTTTTTTCTATGTTTTGTTAGAGCAATATGAACCTTAGGTTAAATATGTGGTGTTATCTTTACTACCTGTTAAATCACTTGTTGCTACATGCTGTTTGCTTTTGGTGGGCTCAGTGGAATTGCATTTATTGAAAGAATGTTAAAGAGTTTTACGCAGCAAACCAAAGCTTCACTGTGAAAGAAACCATATAGAGAAGAACATTGAATAAAAAGCCCTATAAAAGTTCACAGTCCACGTTAAAGTTGTATCTTAGATTATGTGACGCTACAATTAATTTCTCAAAACAGACATGTTCTAGCTGAGCATTTCCTAAGCTCTGGTTCTTAGACAATTCATGGTATGCAAACTATTTTGAAGTGATGCAAAACCGCCTGCTTCTACCTTACATGCGAAGAGAACTGGGAACTGATACTCCTAGCACAAGACTGAGGCACAATGCGTGATTGAAAAACCTAGGTTGTTAAGACAGAGAGGAACTGATAGGAATAGAGGTGATTTGGGACCAAAATCTCTTTTTGGGGTAATGGACCATATGGTAGAAAGATGTGTGAGGAAGTGTTAATTTAGAAAATTAAAGTTATCTGCATACTATCATGGAAGCTGAAGGTGTTGCTGCCATAACCTACAGCAGTAGTTGTACTGTAGTGGTAGATTAAATTCAGGATTACCTATTCTAGAAGATTGGTTTATTTCCCACATGGGAATTCGTGTGCACACCCAGAGTTTTCTCAGCAGCTGCTCAGTTCTCTACCATCATACAAGTAAATACCTACTTCTAAAGTGCTGTTGGAAATTTGTATTTCATACCCAGTTTCACAAAATAGCCCTATTTCTGATTGTGTGCCTAATATGTTCACAATTTAAGCTTTTGTGTTATTGACATTTTTTACAAAATCAAAACCAAAATGTGATGGTAGTAAAAGCTGTTGGTATTCTTTACCTGTTCCAGTCTATCAAGGTAACCTTTTGGAGCACAGTGCAATAGCAGTAGTCTCCTGTGTGTTTTTTCTCAGTGACAAGAAAACTTTCTGAGAATATAGCTAAACTAAAAAGAATTCCCTGTAAATAATAAACAGTCACAATCACAGAGGTAATAAATTATAATTTGTAGGTGTCCTTACACTGATGTTAAACTGCTTTTATCATTCTGCATACATAGTAAGTATATTTAAACTTTAATTTTCCATATTTTAAGATCATTTGAAAATGCAGCCTTTTTGATACAGGTTTATGTGTCAGGCAGTCTCCTTAGCACTGTCTGGACCCTGAAGGGTGTTTGAGGCTCTTTTGCACTCTATTCAATAGCTTGTTATCTACTTCAGTATTAATATTTCACATGAGCCAAAACACTGTGGGAAGAGGGTGAGGTGAGGAAACAATATTCTGCTGAGGAATGGAAGCACCTTTCCTTCACTAGCTCTGGTATCCAAATAGATTTATAACTCCATTTGCAGAATTAACTTTTCTCTCTTCTGAACTCCTACTCTAATAATTTTGACATTAAAGTTGTGTTACTTTGAAATGTTCTGATAAGTGTTTTGAGATATACA